TTTTTATCGATGGGCATAGTTGAGGACGTCTTCCATGGAGCTGCAATTATTCTTGATGAGATCCTCGTAGAGACCGGATCCTTTCAGGAGCCCCTTTTTGGAAAGCATGCACTGCCGTGACCTCATGGCAAGCTGCTATCTCACTTCCCTTATGTACGACAGGGGGGGGGGGAGGGGGAGAGGGAAGGGGAGGCTGAGAACATCCTTTGTTTGTACTGCGCTATATGGTCTTCAAGGTCGTCGGTCCCCTCATAACTTCTCATGGCCGGGTAGCCGAACTTCTTAGATACCTCGGTGTCATAATATCTTCGGAGAATGGCGAGTCGTTATACAATTGATATCTCTTATATTCGCATCGTTGTCCTTGTATTTTCATGATAGTTAAGCTAGGGTTATTGCATTTAGGTCTCATTTTATGCTTTGATTCCATTCATGTAGGTCTAGGATGCATTAGTTAGGATTTTTGCATTGCTCTTGCATGTTTGTAGCTCTTTTCAGGTACTTGAACTATCACATAGGTCAGGCGAAGGAAACCAAGGCACTCGGAGACGAATAAGGACGACCAAAGGGGAAGCAGACGACGTCTTGCATCACACCGGTAGGTGACCACGGGAAAGGATGTGACAAGCAGCACTGGTTTTGCACTTCGACCAAGTACATCGGGATAAAGCCGATACACGAGCCGAAGTAGATGTTGTCTCGCAATACACCAAGAAAACGTTGTGGCAACAGCCTGATACAGATGACACAATTCTTACCACGACGTCAGCACACTCACCACGGGCTACCTCAGCGGGATGAAGCCGTGATCCGCTAGCTTCCAAACGAGTACCCATTTCGGCCAAGTGGTCCCGCAAGCGTGCTAGGGCGACCTCTCATCTCTTTTTCCCTATAAATACTCTCAACCGTTCATTTTGTCTCCAAAACAAAAACATTGGTCATTTTTGCATCTTGTCTTTTAGCTACCTTTGTTTGTATTGCGCTATATGGTCCTCAGGGTAGTCGGTCCCCTCATAACTTCTCATGGCCGGGTAGCCGAACTTCTTAGATACCTCGGTGTTCGAGATATCTTCGGAGAAGGGCGAGTCATTGTATGCTTGATATCTCTTATATTCGCATCGTTTTCCTTGTATTCTCATGACAGTTAAGTAAGGGTTATTGCATTTAGGTCCCATTTTATGCTTTGTTTATATTCATGTATGCATTAGTTAGGATTTTTGCATTGTTCTTGCATGTTTGCAGCTCTTTTCAGGTACTTGAACTATCACTGAGGTCATGCGAAGGAAACCAAGGCACTCGGAGACAAAGAAGGACGACCAAAGGGGAAACAGACGATGTCTTGCATCGCACCGAGAGGCGACCACGGGCAAAGGACGTGACAAGCAGAACCCCTTTGCACTTCGACCAAGTACATCGGGATGAAGCCGATACACGAGCCGAAGTAGATGTTGTCCCACAATACACTGGGCAAACGTCATGGCAACAGCCCGATACAGACGACACGATCTGTACCACGACATCAGCACACTCGCCACGGGCTACCTCAGCGGGATGAAGCCATGATCCGCTAGCTTCCAAGTGAGTACCCAGTTCGGGCAAGTGGTCCTGCAAGCGTGCTAGGGCGACCTCTCTTCTCTCTTTCCCTATAAATACTCCCAACCGTTCATTTTGTCTCCGAGACAAAAATATTGGTCATTTTTGCATCTTGTCTTTTAGCTACCGAACTCTTTCTTTTTTGTTTTGTATTTCGCCATTGTTGCGATTTTAAAAACCTAAAGTCTTAATCCTCTTTAGTATTTTCTTGAGTAATAGTTAGATCTTTACTTTCTTGTTCTCTCTTCTCACGGTTAGCCAAGAATGAGATCTTTCACCCTCATGGGTTCTAAGACTCTTTCTATGGCGCGTGAGTAGTTACCCTGCGGGGTTTAGTGGGTTTACTTAAGGATATGGGGATTTCAGGTCTTTTTTTGCCTATCATGCACTTTACTTTTGATTTCTCCTTGCTGGTTATGTTTAATGCTTAGATTAGTATTATCAACTAGATTAATAGCTCTTAGGCGGCTTGACACGAACACCACGTACTTGCTTAGCCAGAACCACCTTCAAGGGTAATGATGGACCCACCCTTAGAAATTAGTTGTATGGGGCGTCTTACGGTTCTATGGGGATGGTGTCTCAGTCTTGTTTGATTCATTGTACCCCGTTGCGAGAGCTCGTCTATGGTGGTGAATCTTACAAAGTACCTAGACACAAACACCATGGGATGTAACATGTATAGACTCCCCATACCTAGAAATCACCATCAAAAGACCAATTCTAGATGTGACCGAATGGTAGTGGCAATGTTCTTAATCCAATGACCGAACCCCTAATCCGTCTAACCTACTCTAACCCCTCACTTAGTCTTATTAACCTCTGCAAATCTTATTCGATTTACTTATTGCAATCTATATTCTACTTCACATTCAGCTTACTTTTATTGCTCTTTACCGTTTTAAGTTTACGGCTTGAGTGACACAAGCCTTTCCTGATTTTGCTTGGTGTGTAAAAACCCAACTCTCACTAAAGTGAACTTGACTTAAGAATTGTCACCTTGAATCTTAGTGAGCCTCACAACACCCAAACTGGATTGATACCTTAAGCTCTATACTACAAACGGTTATAACTGGGTTTAGAAATTGCTTAGCTGTAGAGTAAAGAAAACCTTAGCTATCAACGATTCCCTCATTACATGGTTTACCTGCGGGGGCAAGCCCCAGATCTCGGATAGTCGTGCATTGATGTTCGCCATATGCTAAACCATCTTTTGGGTGATGATGCGGTCTAACTCGGTTGCTCCCGTGACTCGATTCACGGCATCGTCCCCATTTTGCTTGGCTCCAGCGCTGTCGAGGTAGGCGGAGTGGTCTGCTTCTGCCGTCCCATTGGCAGTCGGGACAGTGGCATCATCCGGGGATGGAAAGGCTGTGAACAGTCCCGTAGATCTGGCCCCATGCGAAGTGGAGCATTCCGCCCTATCGAGATTGAGAGGCCCTCACCATCCAGCGGCCTGGTGGTTGTGTGGCCTTAAGGCGTGGCGGGTGCCTGTTGGACAATTACTCCAACTGACAGTTTCTTTCGACTACGTGCCCGAGTTCTGCTCGGAGCCGGCATGCGTCCTCATAGTCCAACATCTGTTGGGGGATCTGTGGCATTAGCTCCATGGGAACTCTCTCCTTGAGCGGTTGCTTGGGGCGGGCTTGGTGTGTTGCTTCCATCGATTGACATATTGGTTTATTCTTCTCCCCTCCTTCTAGCGCTAACTGCTCGGAAACAAATTTTGAGGATGTTTATGTGGAGGATATTGATTGGTGAACAGACCTGCTGGGATGAGATTCGAAATCTGGGGAGGAGGGGACGGGTCAACCTGAGATGCACAAGAAATCGTACGGGGTAAAATAGAAAGGGGTTGCCTTTCTGATTATTTTCTGACAGTCAAGTCAGAACAGGACACGAAACTGGTTGAAAGAATATGAGATATCAAATGAGCAGGAAAGATGGGGGCGCTTTATCAACTCCGAATGATTGTGACAAAAATTTTATGGTTGTATCTTTGTCAATGAAGCTAGAAGATAAACTTATTTATTTAGAATTTCTCCTCTTTTTATTGTTGGTATGAAGAGGGTATTTATAAAAAATTCCTGATTATGTGTCAGATATGGGCAGGAGCTCCAGTTTTCCTGGGTCGGGTTCAGGCTATTATCTGCTGAGTTGTCCTTCAGAACTGTTACCAGAACTGACCGGACTCGCCCATGCGTGTTGCTAAAGGAGGAACCGTTGACCTGCTCTGCCTCTGCCTAGCCGCCATTAATACGGTGTTCCTTGATAAATGCAGAGTACTTAATGCTCTTCAGGTTCCCGCGGTATCTGCTCTTCACACGTCAGGCTTAATGGGCTGGATCACGATTTGTGGCCTAACAAAGCCATATTTCATTTATAAATCCAACAAACACAATTCACCAAAAAATTCTGTAAATATTTTAAAAAAAAACCTTAAAATCTAACTAAAATTTGCAAATATTTAAATGGGCAATGCAAATGCACTTTGGGCATAAGCCAAGAACTGGACCTGTTCGTTATATTAGTCATTATGTTAGTCTAAATGTTCATCAATGGCTAGCATTATGAGGGGTAACTCAGGGGATATTATGATTAAGGGATGAAATCGAATGTGAATGCGGTTGAAATCATAGTAAAATGGCCAAGGGTTATGAAGAGGCTCGAGAAGAAACAATAGAAGAATGTGTTGGCTCTAGATCTTAATTTTTAGGGAGAAATCCTCTTCCCATATCATTTTATCATTTCTTTTGAAAAATTAATAATAATATATATGTCTATTTTATCTATGTCATGATAAAGGTAAAAGCGGAAGAGAAATGCCAAGGAAAAGAAAGAGCTTGAATTTGAAAAGATCTGAATCCTTGATTTATTAAAAAAAAAAGGAGTTTAGACTTGACAAATGGTCTTGGGAGTTGACTTCGGGTTTAATGGGATACGAAGTGAGTTTGGCTTCAATCTTCAGACTAGGATTGCAAAATAGAAATGTGTAGGACAATGAAAACTATAGTTATATGCATCAATTGTTTTTATTTTACGAAAATTTTGCATAATACCTAAAGCATTCCTTTGATTCTGAAAGTCAGCCACCATGGAAAAATCTGAACTTTATTGAGCAATATTTCAAACTTTTATCTCTTATCAATCCGATTGAGTTAGATCATTTTTCCATTTGTGAATAACACCATAATTAAGCATTAATTAGGTGATCGACTTGTATTGTGTGCGGGTTATAAAACATTTTATATGTTATATATTTGAATAATATTACGTATTGTTTTATGAGTATTTGCATATGATGAATTATGTTATAAGTAGTATTGTTGTATGAATACTGGAAAGTTGAAAATAAGTGAAAAACTGTAAGGTATTCCAAAAGAAATTGATGATAGAAATGGTACATAAAAACTATAAAGATGATAAAATTAAATAAACTGTTTCAAACGTGAGAACGCATGATAAAGGGCTGGATAAAATAAACTAAGAAAGATTATCATTTATTAAACACTTTTTTGTAGAGATAGAGATTCATAATGAGAAAGAAAGAGCTTGTTCTTTGGGGTTTTAAATTGCTGGGCAATTTCATCAATGTGTATGCCCTGTTGTCTTGCACTGCAGTGAATACAAACAACAATTATCAGAACAAATAACAATTATCAGTTCATGATGGGCTAAGCAAAACTGAAACTCACGTGCAAGTAGGTTGCTTTAGATAGTCAAGGATCATATCACCTACGTTCTTGCGACCATTTCCATCACTGATGGGCTAAGCAAAACTGAAACTCGCGTGCAAGCAGGTTGCTTTAGATAGTCAAAGATCATATCACCTACGCTCTTGTTACCATTTCCATCCCTGTTCTGAGAGGGAACCACCTACAAAAGAGCAAACACAGATTAGACTAAAGAAAACATGAATCATGTAGAAAACCAAAACAAAATGGAAAATCTCATCTTAGAGAGTTCAATGTTGTTGTCTGGTTTGTGTTAACAGATGAATTGGCCAAATGTGATTGAGTGGCATCACCAACTTGCTGTCCAGACTGAGAAACCTCACACAAAACATGTCCGTGAGGATTGATTTCTGCAAATCGTGAAGTTACAACAAGACAAGACAGTTAATCTTTTGCTATACACAATTTCTTTTACCTGTGATCCAGAGTTCTGGGAATAGAAATGTATACACTCAATGTTGTGAAATGTATACACTCAAGGCTTTATATATCTTTGTTCCATACACAAAATCCAGATTCATCAAAACCCTTGCCAAATCTCTGAGCTTTTGTAATATTTCACGAAATACCTTAAACCCCCGAGACCTGATCACGACCATAAAATCAGAATCCAGCGTCGGCTCAGAATCGATAAGAGTTTCACAAGTACCCACCACGAATCTCCGCAAATGATTTTGTGAAGAATAATGACATTCTAGCTCTCGCAAACTTGTAATCTTTTATTTTATCTGTGAATGCACATTTGTGAATTTTTGAATCAAAGTCTTTTCAATATTTGATTCTTGTTCTTGGTAGAATTAAGTGGAGAACTACACTCATAAAGGATTAATGCAGATGCAGAAGAGAAAAAGAAAGCTAACTTTCACCAACCTTATTGTAGGTTCTCGAAGTTTGCCCTTTGTTTGAGGAGTTCCATTTCCAAGCCACTGTTGTCTAGACAGAGCAGAGAACCGTGATGTAATAAAGCTTTGAATGTTCTTTAGAAAAGGTAGCGAGAGAATGACGCTGGAAACAACAGTGTGTGGAAACCTCATCTCACCGTTGTTTACAAATTCAGTGGGGTTGCTTGTACTTTCAGAAGTAGCAGTGTTGTTGGTGAAGCTGATAGAAGACATGCTTCTCTGTGACTGCATTGTGCTGTTATCCATCTCGCAGGTGCTTGTGCCCCAGAAGTCGTCTGATACGCTTGGCTTCTCATCCACTGAAACAATCTGAAAAAAAACTTTGGATCGAGAAAACGAAAACGTCAAAGAAAGCGACTTAATTTGACTCCTTCGATCTGTTAGTCTTCCTTGAAGAATAGATTCTCCTCTGTCTGTTAATGTCGGAGAAACCAATAACCTCGAGGAGATCTTTTGTTTCATCCTGTGTTATTTCTTTGAAAATAATGAGTTGTACAAAATTTCCTTTTTTATTTTAAAATTGATAATTCTCTCTCTCTCTTCTTTCTCTAATATCTTTCAGAGAGAGAGAATCAATTTTCCGGTTTTGTCCGGCTCTTCTGTAATTATTTCTTCCGTTTATCGGATGAATTTTCTTCCGTATATTGGATTTTTATAGTTGTTTTCCCTTTTGCATGAGTTCATCGATGCTTTTACTAAAAGTATCTTTTCCGGTGATGGTGGTAGACAAGTCTCTTTTGTCATAAGTTATACTCGATCTTCTTATGGCCTTCGCTATCTTGTATACGAGGCGAAGTCTTTCCATCGGTTTGATTCGAGCTTATGGGATTTCTTTCGGCGGAAGTGGTGCAGAGCAAGAAGAGTCAGCGTTCTTTGTAGCGGTCCGATAAAAGTTATGTTACTAATTCTCTGGCCTCTCCTGGTGATTACAACTGATGGCAAGCTGAGCTTTCTCATGCTATCCCGGCGGTCAGATGCAAAAAGAAGAAGCACTGATCTATTGCAGCGATTTGTTTGCTACGGAGCTAGAGTTCGCCGGCGGTTATTTCCGGTAGGTGTGAAGTGGCGCTGCACATCTCATACTTTTGTTACACGTGTATTTCTTTTATGGTTTAGGTTACATGTGTCCATACACGTGTTGAGTCAAGGCTATTGGGTTCTTTGGGTTTATTATGTCTTGGGCCTTTTGAGATGTTGTATCCTTTCACTGTTTTACCCTTTATGTGTTTAAACGACGACAAAAAAAAAATTATAAAATTGATATGTTATATTTACAGGTCAGCGTTGTCCAAAAAAAAAGCATTTACAGATTACCGTAAAATACATTATTTTTTTTACGGTGTTGACAAATAAATTTTTTTAATAATTATATTTTTCAAATAATATATAGGAGATTAAGTGTAAAAGTTCATGGATATTTAGATTCACATTGTTTGACTTTACGCTTCAATTGGTGATCAATAAAAAAAAATAGGAATAAAAAAAAAATGAAATGAATAAAATAAAAAATGAATAAAATAAAATATATATAAAAAAATAAATAAATATATTTTATTCCTTTTCAAATTTTATAAAAAAATATATATATTCTATAATTTCATATAAAATAAGAAATAAAAAAAATGATAAAGAAACAATATTCCTAACAACTGGTAAATATTTTAAGGAACAAAGAGAAATTCATTATTCTTTTTTAGTCTTTATTATCAATTGAAGCCTAAAAACATCTCCAATATAAAATTACATTTTTATATTAAAATAGAATAATTACAGAATATAGTTGGATTTTATTCTAAATGTATGTTTTTAAGAAAAAAAAAATATTCTAAATATTTGATTCATGTAAAAAGCAAAAAAGAAAATTGATAGTTAAATTAAAAGTATATTATTTAAAATACAAATTAAAACAAAATCTACGTGCACGGATGGTTTTGTCCTAATGTCTACCATAGGCGAAAGCGTCTTAAACATGTCTTTTTATCCTTTATCCATTTTGTCACATGATATGAAATTTCACAGTTGCCGTTCATTTAAATTCCAGCTTTTTCACTGTCATGTAATTATGGGTGTTTGAACTAACATGAATTTAAACTTTACAGCAAAAGCAAACTACACAAGTACATTCAAACGCAAACGAAACGGAAAATAAAGGAAAAAAAAAAAAGCAAAACAAACATGAAAGAATCAAGCTCCAACTAACTGAATTTGAAAAGTGCCCTTTACTTTTGGTTTACATAAGGTGTTGATCGATCCAAAGGTCAACTGTAACACTTTGGATTGGATCTAGGCCCAACAGGAAAAGGAAAAGTTCATGTGTCAAAAGTCTAAAAAGAAAGGGTATTAAAATTTTCCCTTCCCTATATAAATAAAGCCAGAGAGTCAGGATTTTCATCACAACTCCCAAAGCACTCAGAGATAGAATCTAGGAACTCTAACCGAGCAAGCCGCCGCCGCCGCCGTTCCGTCGTTCCTAGCAGCCGTTTTCTTGAGTCGTTTGCCTTTTGTCGTTAGATCTCTTAAACCATAGATCCTTTTTTAGCTTTCAATCGATTAAACAAAGGTGAAGATGTGTTTATGCCTTCCCTTCGATATCGTTAGCTAGCTTGTTTCGGTTAGATCTAGATCTCAAGTCCTCTAAAACCCTACAAGTTCCACTCTAGATCGTAACTTGTAGATCTGTGCTGTTTGCTAGGGTGTTATTTACTTTCAGAATTTAGAAATAGTTATGGATTAATAGTGTTGATTGTTGCTTGATGTTGAATATTGCTTGTGAGAAATGCGAATTTGCATTGCACTGCATATAGTGTGTGAAAGCACAAACTGCATTAGGACCCAACAGTGAGAAGGCACTGCTGGCGTGATTGACGCCTGCGACAGAGGATGTGCCTGTCGTAGTGCCATGTGGTGCTCAGGTTGACGAACCAGTCGTGCAGCGACTTAGACTCTTGCGGAGATGCATCCTCTAGCAAGGGTGTAAGACATACGAAACTTGCGAAGGTTAATCTGTGGGATACTGTAACGTGTGGCATTCAGTATGCTCGCTTTGTTTATTGCATATTTGTTTGTTGATTGTTAGAGAAATCTTTAAACTGCGCTTGTTTGTTTGACTCTAGCTAGCGACAGGTTCGGATAATGGTATATGTGGTGGACCACATGTATACATTCTCCTGGGTAATCTAAATTACTCATCCCTTCCTATTCCTTTTCCCCTTGCGCAGGTGAGCATGAGCAACAGGAGTGATTGGCGTGTGATGGTGGCGAACTGGTTCTCTAGTTCGGTCATTGGGGTCCTTAAGACACTTAACTTTCTAATTCAAATGATTTTCAGTTGGTTTTGAGACTTGATTATGATTTGTTTGAATTTAAAATGGTTATTTACAAGACTATTTGGATTTATATCTATGGAATGAATATTGATTTGGAGTTAATGTTGTGGTAACTTGGTTGGAAAGTTGAATGTTTAACATGTCATATTTATGAGGAGAGGCTGTGTTACATCAACAACAATTTATATAACGAAACTCTAATACGTAAGCTACAATTTAACTAGTCTCCATGAACAAAAGAACTAGGCCAACAAATCCAATTTGGTACTAAATAAACAGTTTAAGCTTTGAATCCCCTTTTCAATAAAAGCCATGTGTTAATACCATCCCACTCCCACGACTGGTTATTCTACTAATCTTATACGAAGCTAATACGAATAAGTTGCAAAAATGTAGACACTTTTGTTGTATCAAAAGGTCGTTAGAAAGCAAAGTCATTTACCGGAACAAAATCAAGAATCAGTCGACCTTGCATTTATAAACGCATGCTGTTATAGCCAGTATAGCTCCAATGATCAGTCCTACGAATGCAATTGCCAAGACTGTTGAATCCAACCCCAACAACGAAAACATCAGTACTCTGCAAACATTCTTTGATCCGGACCAACAGACTAAGATTAGCAAGTGATGAAGAATAACATACCAGCAATGGTGAAGTAGATGAGAACAGCCAATCGGTATCTGGTTATTCCCGGTAATTCAGCTTCGAGGGTGCAATATCGTCGGGACTTTCCCGACGTAGTTTCATATGTCAAGGGCTTTGAGCCTCGTGGTTGGAGTTCGGATAGTGAAACGTTTGTGCTTAGTGCTGTGAGTCCTTTAACATCTCTGATCTCGAGCCTTATGGTTGCCGGATTTGCATTCCAATCTATAGATATTGCTCCAAAATTTTGTTGTCCTGCAAGTAATTTTGAAGAAATGATAATCAATGTAATCCTCCACAGGAGCATCATTGCAGCTCTGTCAAATTATTGAGATGAGAATCAACAAATCTATGAAAACGCTATTCTTATTCCAATTCCCCCAAACCAGAGACACTCAACCAAATTCCAAGCTAATCCTGAGAAATCCAAACCATTCAACAATCTGCAGATACACTGGCTGTTTTCTAATCAACTTACAACACCAAAAATCTGCTATTTTTTTTTAACATAAGATGAATCAATTGAGAAGAAAAGTAGAGTAATACCGTATGTGCATGATCTATATTTGCAGTTTTCATTGATAACTCTCATTGTGCTTGGAGTGTACCAAAACAGAAGCCTAACGATGAAACGCAAGGGATGAGGGAATACTTTCTCAACAGATTGTACTAGACCACTTGAGGTGACATCATATAATGGGTACCCAACAGCACAGTCGTATCTAGTGATCTCGCCAAAATGAACATCTCCGCTGATGAATACAACTCCATTTCTCTGTAATGTCACAGCAGCGAAGAATTATGGTGAAGGAAACAAGACTTGATTTGGTTCGTTTCCGCTAATGTCAACTATACTTCATACCTTTGTATCTTCTATCAGTTGGAAAAGACGTTTCCTTTCCTTGGGAAAACGTCCCCATGATTCCATATAAAAGAGCGGTCCAGTGGTAGCCGAAAGATTTGATATTACCTAGACAAGCCAAGAAACCATGGAACAAGACATTCAGCTTCATCAAGTTTGAGTTTATAGTGACAAAAGTCTAAAACTTTGCCATGAAAGTGAGTGACAATGACTAAAACTGGTTTCGGATTGATAGAAACACAAGCTACAGAATACCTGAACAGACGATCCTATGATAGTAATCTCGCTACGCGGACCTCTTAACTCATTTCCGAGCCATCTCCACTGCGTATCACCCAAGATACTCCCATCACTTCGCAAAGGGTCTCTATGATATCTGGTATCTAAAACTATAACCTGAGGATAGAAAATTTCATTAAAACCACATGAAAGCTCTACATTACAAACAACCAAAGAAGACAACAACCGTATTGGAGTTTCTGGTGATATACCTTGACTTTCCGGTTAGGTGGACCAAACGTATAAGACGCATACACTCCGGCTTGATTTCTCCTGAGATAACATCAGATTCAGTGACAGAGACTTTTGATATCATAGAGACTATACGAATTTTGAAGAAAAGAGAGCTAACCGTGGGCTATCAAGAGGCTCATTCAAGAAATCAAGCATGAGTCTTTGGTTAATAACTTTACGATCAAACTCTTTTCCAGCATCATTCAATCCGTAATCATGGTCATCCCAAGTGCCAATAACTTTCGCTTTCCTCTGGAGACGAGAATACCCAGGATTAGCTTTGGCTCTTGCGTATCTTAGTTTCATTTCTTCCTCTGAAGAAGGCACAAACCTGGGAGAGTTCCTCCATGGCCCGAAGGTTCTCTCTTTCCCAATCACTCTAATGGGTTTTCGTATATCTCCATAGATGTTATCACCCAACCAAATGAACAATTGTGGATCAAACTTGTTTATGGCATCCCAAATCGGCTAATTTAACACACACAAAACTCATAAAATCAATAACAGATTCACGAAATTGCGAATCGAACCAAGGATTTTCTGCAATTGATTATACCTGTGGAGCGCTTTGATTAGCGCATGATCCAAATGCGATACGAGTGATCAGAGAATCTTCTGTTGTTTCCGTCGCTAGCGCTGCCGTGCAGAGCAACCAAAACCACCAGAAGGAGAGAAGCGGTTGAAGCTTCATCACGAGGTTGTGGAGATTGGTGATAGACAGATAGGGGAAAGAAACGTAGAAGCTGTTGAAATATCATGAAAGTAGTATTAACTGGGGGAAAAGAAAACGTAGAAGATTGGTGATAGACAGATAGGTTTACAGATAGAAGAGTAGTAACTGGGGGAATAGAAAATGTTGGTCACGAAAAAACCTTAAATAAATAAAATAAAATAAAAGTAGAATATGGATTATTCAAAGAGAAATTGTAGCAAATGAACCTCAATAATGGCAAAATTAAATGACAGGAACTGATACCTTTTTGGTGATACTGTTACAAATGAAAAGACAAAAAAGTTCTTTATCACTTTTTTACTTTTTTTCCCTTTCTCGTTTCTTCGCACTTTTTTTTCTCAATTTTCCAAAACTAAAAAAGAAATAAGCAAATAGAAATAATAATGGTGATTATCACTGATGGTGGTGGCGATGTTAATGGTAGTGGTGGTTATGGTGACGGTGTTGATGGTGGTGTTGGTGATGGTCAATGGTGGTGATGATGTTGTTATTAGTGATGGTGATGGAATCATCGATGGCGGTGGTGGTGGTAGTGTTGGGGATGGTCGGTGGTGATGATGATGTTGTCGGTGGTGGTGGTGATGATGGAATCGCCGGTGGTGGTGATGATATTGTCGGTGGTGGTGATGATGTTGTCGGTGGTGGTGGTGATGATGGAATCCGGTGGTGATGGTGGTGATAGTGTCGATGGTAGTGATCGATGGTGGTGGTGGTGGTGATTATAGATGGTGGTGGTGGTGGTTATAAGTGGTGGTGATAGTAGTGATAGGATGGAAGATGATATCAACATTAACACGAGAGTTATCATGCTCACAATGTTAGTATGATAATTTGTTTGATATGATAACATTGTTAACACGATAGTTATCATTTTCACAATGTTAGTATGATAATTATTTGATATGCTAACAATGTTAACATGATAATTTTGCATAATTTATACAGTTAACAAAGTTAACGCGATATTTATACAATATGCTAATCGAATATGATATTAATTAGCATAGTTAACACAGTTAGCACAATACCATATTATTAGCATGGTAATCGAATTGTTATCCATCCAAACGGTATCAAATAAGTTTAGAGGTAAAATAGTCATAATTTACATATATAATATGTAGCAATCTAATTTTTGATTATTGGCTCCATTTTTCTAATTACCAGATTATTTTTTGCCATTTATTAAATTTTCCCTTATTGTTACAGCTCATCTAATTTTTAAATAAAATTTTAGAAAATACTATAAATTTTAAATAAAATATTATTTTTAATTAATTATTTATTTATAAATTATTTTATTCAAAACTGATAAATTAACAACTCTATAAATTAATATAGTATCAAAGTCACAACATTATTAATTTATAGAGTTTCTACTTAGAATAGAAAATTATTTTGATTTACAATGTTTTTTTTTGTCATCTGAAAATTATACTAGACCGTAAAAAAAAAACATTTAAATGATATAGTATTTGAATTTTTTTTTAAAAAATATATATAACTCAAAGAAATCGAAGCTAAAACAAAACTCAAACTAGATAAATGACATTTTTAGTTTCTTACTAAAATGACAAAATCCAACATCATGCACTAAAGATCTTGACAATCTAAAACGTCCATTTACTCTCACAACGTCACAAAAGCCAAAAAAAACTATAAGTAATCTCAAGATAACCGATCACAAAAGAAGATGCAGCAACAAAGCATTGACGGTAAAAAATTTCAGTCTCTCGATTAAGAAAATGAAAGCAATATACTACAGTCCAAATTTCTGTGGACAATTATCTTAGAAGGTGTTGAACCAGAAAATCACCACTAGGGTTTTGATTAACAGTTGTGGGTTTCAGAGAATAAAGTCTTTTATTATTAGCAATAAAGCGAAGCGATTACAAAAAATGGGATAACCGAGAGGTTATGCCGAAGTGAAAAAAAGGTTTGCGAGGTAAACTAGAAAGCGCTGGAGCCTCTGATTTTAGCTCTGCTGCTCTCTCGAATGTATCAGTTGTTCTTCCATGCTTCGGGGTCTTTGTATTTATAAGGATAGGAGGTCGGTTGCTCCGAACTCCTTTTCCTTTTGTCTTTTGTGAATACTTCCATATCTATGATATGGAAATTTCCTTTATTCTCCGAGGAAGAAATTCTCCTTTATCCTTTGAGTTAGTCCGATGTTTCCGGTCTTCAAGAGTTATCTCCAGAGAGTTTCCTTTAATCCGAACTAGGTCGGTGCGGTCTTCCTGATCTTGACGGTCTTAGGTTATTGCGAGAAGGCCTTTTAGGAAATGAGCATTTCTCCTCTAACAGTAAGCCACCGCCCCCCCCCCCCCCCCCCCCAGTTCGGCGAGACTGATTGTAAATCAGGTCGGCGGATTTCATGAAGTTATAAATGGGTTTGACTTCGCAATAGCTGTCAGCTCGTCGAGAGCATTGTTTTGTGATGGCCAGCTCGGCCCTTTTTAAGCGGATTTGCCGCATGGCGCTTCTCAAGAATTATTTATTAAATATTCCGACCCATTAGGGTTTCTGCTTTTAAGCGGGAAATGCGAAGGGTTCGCCGAGCGGCGAGATTGCAAAAATTCTGACACGCGTCTTTTTTGGAAACCGTTGATATTTCTTTCCGATTTAATTGTTTATTTCTACCTCCTCGTCTTCTTGCTTTTAGACACTTCCTGGTCTTCGCGTTTCAGAAAATTTCTTGCCAATTTCTGCGTTGATTTTCTCTTTCTGCTCCATTAATTTCTCTTCAACTCTTGACAACGATATGGGTTTAAGGAAAAGAAGCAAAATTCCATAGTTGGATGTGGATATTCCTGATTTCTCTCCGTGTAAGAAGCCTAGATCGAAAGGTCCATCGCAAGATCCGGCGAAGGAGAGGTCACCTTCGGGGATTCCAGCAGAAGATTCAGGGGTAGAGTTGTCGGTTGAAGATGAAGGCTTAGTTTTTACGACGGCCGAAGAGCAGGCTTTTAGTCTGTCGGGTCCGAAAGGCGTTTCTCCGGAAGAACCGGTGGATACTGGTGATGAACCTGACTTCAATCCTCACGAATTCCTGCTTCGTTGGGGTGGGGATTCTCCAGCGATGTTTGATGAGTACTTTGCAGCAAATTTGGCTTGGTTATGTAGGGCGAAGTCTAACCAAGGGATGTCAGTGGAGAGATTAAAGTGATTTTCTTGTTTCTCCGGGATGGCGCAACGTTTTATGCAGGGTTTAGGTTTATGTGCGTCTTTGGTTGAGTCATACGATAAAGAATCCGTACGGGAAGAGAATCGGGTCAAGGAATGGTCGGAAAAAGATCGAGAGCTTCGCAGTGCTTTGGCGAAGATCAAGGATCTTGAGCGCGAGAAGCTCAAGTTAGAGCTTGACTATAAGTCGCTTGAGATTGAGTCCGCCAAAGAGATAAGACTTCTTAAGGAAAATCTTGAAAAGAGAGCGGCTGAGGAAGTTAAGAACATGGCTGCTAAGGAAAAGGAATTCCGGGATCATCAGCACATCTCAGTTGATCGCGTGGTGGATCTAGTGTATCGGCGTCTTCGTGAGTGGTATGATCCTCGCATCGAGCGGATTAAGAGATTCATGGAGCAAAAGCCCGATATTCATCGGCTGGAGCTTCGGATTGTCGATGCCGAAGCGAGGGCAGATTGTTATAAGCAGCTCAGGTCGGGAGGACACGAGATTCCGGTTGAAGAGCTCTTGCTTCATTCCGCCGCAGCTGACCGTTTGAAGATGGAGCATCACAGCATGAAGGATGCTCTAATTTCTTCAAACGATTTTGCTGCACCATCGCGTGTTCAAATGCGACCTTCCGATGCTGAATTAGTAGCAGCAGGGATCCGGTTGCCGAAGCGGCGTAGGGCTTTGTAGTTTTGTTTTTTTTTTGTAAGGCAAAAGATGTTTCTTTTTATTAATAAATAAGATTTACTTATTGTGTCGCGTTTCGTACTCGTTTCGACGAGTTAGACCTTAATTCTAAGGTTTTTGCGAAGTCAAAAAATTTCTTTTGCCTTGCAGTGCGTGGGCATTCTTTAGGCCGGTGCTGGAAGAGAGATTCATTAGCTCGTCTTATACCAAACGACATTCAGGATCGAATACCAAGCTTTCGGATTTCTCTTTGGTCCGAAAGGTATGATCGAGAGTCGTGCGAGTATTGTCCTCGGCTTTCGTCTTATCTACTTCGGAGGTAATTAAAGCGAACCGAAGTGTCAAAGGAGTGGTGATCAGCCACTAATTCAGTTTGCTTGCTTTCTTTGAATCGAATGTTTGGCCAGAACATCGATTCAGCAAGATGCATTCGCATATGGCTCTTTTTGCCGAGCTGAGCGGGTTCTATGAAGGTAATTTTATTAAGATAGTGACTGAACCCGAAGGCTGCCTACGTACCCGAAGTGGGATCAAGTCATTCGTAGTTCTTAGTAGTACATTCTTTGCCGAGTTTACGGTTTTGAAGTATAATATTTCCTTAGATTCATGGAATTGCGAGCTCACTCAACTGGCTCTCCCTTCATGTCTTCTAGCCTGTAGACGCCGGGTTTGACGACTTCTGCAATGCGATATGGTCCTTCCCAATTCGCCTTGAGTTTTAATGGGTTTATGGTTCTTTGTAAGACGAGGTCGTGAAGTGAGAATAGTAGGCTTTGGACTTTCTTGTTGTAATACCTAGAAACTTGCTGCTGGTAATTTTGAATTCGTAACAAGGCTTTGTCGCGAAGCTCTTCCGTGTTATCGACTGCGTCGATCAGTTTTTCTTCGTTCAATTGAGGATCTCGAATCATCAAGGATCGCCGAGCACTAGCTACATGTAGTTTGGCAGGTGCCAAAGCTTTACAGCTGTGGGATAGTGAAAAAGGGGTTTCTCCTGTGGCAGTTCGCAGAGTCGTTCGATGGTACCAGAGGACTCCGTCCAGTTCATCCGCCCATCGTCCTTCTAGTTCATTTAGCCGTTTTTTGAGATCGTCAAGGATCGTTTTATTAGAAGCTTCTGCTTGCCCATTGACTTGTGGGTAGCATGGTGTCGAATAACTTATGCATATCCCCCATTTGTCACAGAAACTTCGGAAAATTGACGAGGTGAATGGGGTGCCGTTATCCGTGACGATCTCATATGGGAGGCCGTGTCGGCATATGACATACTCCCAAATGAAG